TCCTCATAAAATTTTAACTATTTAGAAAAAATCTCTAAAGAATATGCCATTATATAGAAAAAAGTATGCTCTTTCGTTTGGACTAGACCGATGTTCGAAATTCGGCTCATTATATAGAAAAAAGTATGCTCTTTCGTTTGGACTAGACCGATGTTCGAAATTCGGCTTATTATATAGAAAAAAGTATGCTCTTTCGTTTGGACTAGACCGATGTTCGAAATTCGGCTTAGAATATAGAAAAAAGTATGCTCTTTCGTTTGGACTAGACCGATGTTCGAAATTCGGCTTAGAAGTATCACTTTTTTTCAATTTAGTATTGAAAAAACCGTGAAAATTCGCTAACGAACGATACTAAAATTTTGTCTATATTCCTCATAAAATTTTAACTATTTAGAAAAAATCACTAAAAAATATGCCATTATATAGAAAAAAGTATTCTCATTCGTTTGGAATTGACCGATGTTCGAAATTCGGCTTAGAAGTATCACCTTTTTTCAATTTAGTGTTGAAAAAACCGTGAAAATTCGCTAACAACCGATACTAAAATTTTGTCTATATTCCTTATAAAATTTTAACTATTTAGAACAAATCTCTAAAGAATATGCCATTATATAGAAAAAAGTATGCTCTTTCGTTTGGAATTGACCGATATTCGAAATTCGGCTTTGAAGTATCACTTTTATTCAATTTAATATTGAAAAAACTGTGAAAATTCGCTATCGAACGATACTAAAATTTTGTCTATATTCTTCATAAAATTTTAACTATTTAGAAAAAATCTCTAAAGAATATGCCATTATATAGAAAAAAGTATGCTCTTTCGTTTGAAATTGACCGATGTTCGAAATTCGGCTTAGATGTATCACTTTTTTTCAATTTAGTATTGAAAAAACCGTGAAAATTCGCTAACGAACGATACTAATATTTTGTCTATATTCCTCATAAAATTTTAAATATTTAGAAAAAATCTCTAAAGAATATGCCATTATATAGAAAAAAGTATGCTCTTTCGTTTGGAATAGACCGATGTTCAAAATTCGGCTTAGAAGTATCACTTTTTTTCAATTTAGTAATGAAAAAACCGTGAAAATTCGCTAACGAACGATACTAAAATTTTGTCTATATTCCTCATAAAATTTTAACTATTTAGAAAAAATCTCTAAAGAATATGCCATTATATAGAAAAAAGTATGCTCTTTCGTTTGGAATTGACCGATGTTCGAAATTCGGCTTAGAAGTATCACTTTTTTTCAATTTAGTATTGAAAAAACCGTGAAAATTCGCTAACGAACGATACTAAAATTTTGTCTATATTCCTCATAAAATTTTAACTATTTAGAAAAAATCTCTAA